CCCCCCCTGCCACCGGGAGCCCCGACCCCTTCAGGGGATACCTGCCAGCGGGACGTCCCGTCTCACCAGCGGCCCCTGCACCGGCTGACCCCGCTCCGTGTCCACCCCCACGTAAGCCGTGAGGGAGCAGATGACCCCCGAGCTCAGGCTGGCCTCCAGTGCCCGGTGCCGGTCCCGCTCCGACCCGGCCCCCACGGTCCCCTCCAGCTCCAGCAGCAGCGACTTGGCTGCCAGCCGGTGAACGGGCAGCCTGTGCCGGGGAGAGAGAGTCACGGGGTCAGCCCTGGACGCCTGGGTTCCAGCTGCTGCGGGGAGGGGAGCAGGGTCTAGTGGGATGGGGGGGGGAGCGGGTGCCAGGACTCCTGGGTTCTATCCTGGTGCCGGGAAGGGAGTGGGGTCTAGTGGTCACAGAAGGGGGGCTGGGAGCCAGGGGGGCAGGTCCCATCCCATCTCTGTTCCGCTGGGGTGGGGACGTGGGGGGGCAGGACCCAGCTGCCGGGGGGGGGAGGGGATGGGAGCTGGGGAGCATTGCTGTCACCTGTCTCCATCCTGTGGCTGCAGGGGGAACTGCAGCGTCTCCTTGTAGGTCTGGTCCTGGATGCGGTACTGCAGGGTGACACCCCCCATGGGAGTGTCTGCGGGCTGCAGGCAAAGAAAGGTGGTCAGAGGTGGAATGCGACAGGGGAGAAGATGCCTGGGATCCCCCAGACCCAGCTTACAGAACAAAGAGGGCAAATACGCCCAATTAACACCAGTTGGGGGGCTAGCCTAGTCAGCCCAATGGCTGCCTTTAGGGTCCAGAGTTAACAATCCCCATTGAGCTCAATGGGGCTGGGGTAGCACAGAGACTTCCAGCCCAGTGGCCATCATTAGAAGTCAGAGTTATCGATCCCCACTGGAGGTCTCGTCTACACTACATACTTTGGTAGAACTACGTTGCCCAGGGGCATGAAAAATCCACACCCCTGAGCGACATAGTTACACCGACCTTAGCCCCCCGTGTAGACAGCGCTATGTCAGCAGGAGAGATTCTCCCGTCGGCTTAGAGCATCTTCACCAGACGTGCTACAGCAGTGCAGCTGCGCCAATGTAAATTTGTAGTGTAGACCTGCCCTGAGATCAATGCAGCCGGGCTAGTACAGAGACCTGCAGCCCAGTGGCCATCATTAGGGGTCAGAGTTAACAATCCCCACTGAAATCAATGGGGCTAGGGTAGCATAGAGATCCCCTGGCTCAATGGCCATCGTTAGGGGTCAGAGTTAACAATCCCCACTAAAATCAATGGGGCTAGGGTAGCACAGAGACCACTGGCTCAATGGCCATCGTTAGGGGTCAGAGTTAACAATCCCCACTAAAATCAATGGGGCTAGGGTAGCACAGAGACCACTGGCTCAATGGCCATCGTTGGGGTTCAGCGTTAACTATCCCCATTGAGAACAATGGGGCTGGGGTAGCACAGAGAGCTCCAGCCCAATGGCCATCATTAGGGGTCAGAGTTATCGCCCAGGAGGAGACTGGGGGGCTCCTGGCTCAGTCACTGATCCCGAGCCCTGGGGGCGTCCCAAGGCAGGAGCCTCACTCTCTCACCTGGGGCTGCCCGCGGAGCTGGGCGTAGACGAGACACCGCTGCCCACCGAAGATCACCTCGGGGCCACGACGCAGCAGCTCCGCCTGCATCCCGGGGGGCAGATCCCAGCTCAGCGAGATCCCGGTCACCGCCGGCTGCAGGGCCCGCTTCAGAGACTGCAGCACCTGGGAGAGAGACCGGCACACATAGGGTGGGCCAGGACGCCTGGGTCCTATCCCCAGCTCTGCAGGGGAGTGGGGTCTAGTGGCCTAGAGTGGGGGAGCTGGGAGCCAGGACTCCTGGGTTCTATCCCTGCTGCAGGGAGGGGAGTGGGGGCTGGTGGGTTACAGCAGGGGAGATCGGACTCCTGGGTTCTCACCTTGGGCTGCATGCGGTCCTGGCTAGTGATGAACTCGGCGCTGCCCTCTGCTGCCCGGGCGATGCCTTTGATCAGAGCTGTGGAGGCCCCGGCCCCGATGCCGAAGGAGAAGCACCTGCAGGGGGGGCAGAGTTCAGGGCTGGGGGGGCAGAGCTGGTGGGGCCCATCCAGTGCTGGGAGGGGGGGACAGGACAGTTGGAGAGGGGCCAGTAGGGCTGGCTGGGCTGGGGGCGGGCTCCCCATGCTGGCGGGGCTGGGGGGGTAGGGTGAGGTGAAGGGTTGGGCAGATTCTGGGGACTATGGTGTGGGGGGGTCCACATGATGGCAATGCTAATAGGGGCAGGGCTCGGGGGGCAGGCACCCCCATTACCTGTGGGTCCCCCGGTGACGCTGCACCTCTGCGATGACATCCTGGGTGTTCTCTACCTCCCCATCCGTAAACACGAACAGCTGGGGGGGGGGGGAGAGACGCTGTCAGAGCCAGGGACCAAACACCCCCCGGAGACACCCCCTCCCCGCTGGGAACGGGAGCAGCCCCCCGGAGAGTCTGCCCCTCTGACCCTCCCAGAGAACCCCGGCCCCATCCCTCCCCTCCCAGAGATCTCCCGAGGGGATGACCGCGACCTTCTCCCCTACCTCTGTGACCCTCAACCCCTAGGCATGACCCCAACCCATCACCTGTTCACCGACCCCTGGACACAAGAACCCACCGACTGCTGTGGGCACCTTTCCGGGAGCTCCCTCCTGACCCCCCCACGTGTGCCCTCCCTGCCCCCCCGGGCTGCAGGGCACCCCCCAGAGCTGGTCGGGGCACAAAGCACTGCCCCTCCCAGCTCTATACAGAGGTACCCCCCCCGGTTGCTACCTGCCACGCCCCGCTCACACCCCCAGGGGCACTGGCCCCCTCATCTGGCCCAGAGCCCCAGTCCCACTCTGAGCCACCCCATGGCCCCTGTCGGCTGCCCCCCAGAACCCCCAGCCCCTCTCCGATCCCCTCTCCCGGGGTCTCCCCCTTGGAAGTTCAGGAACAGCCTCCAAGGGGAGCAGGGGCGGGCGGGCAAGGAAGGGCCTGCGATGGCGTATGGCCCATGCGACAGCTGGGAGCAAACACCCCATGGGCAGGGCTGGGGCACTGGGGGGGGGCTCAGAGTTACTGCAGAGAATCCTTCCCAGGGAGCTGGCTGGGGGAGAGGGGGTCTCGCCCCCATCCTCCGGGCAAGCTGACCCCCACGTGTGGGGTGGGGAAGGGATTTTCCCCCGGCTCAGATTGGCAGAGACCCTAGGGGGTTGGTCTCCCTCAGCAGCCTGGGGCCCGGGGCACTCACTGGTTTGAACTGGAGCAACTGGGGGGAGTCGCTGTGACCTGACGCCTGTAACTCATGGTTTGGGGGTGCAGTGACTCAGCCTGAGGGGCGGGGCTGTCACAGGGGGGCGAGGGGCTGAGCAGTGTCACAGGGGGGCGAGGGGCTGTCACGGTGGGGGCGAGGAGCTGGGGCCTGATGAGATGATCATCATGGTCCCTTCTGTCCTGAAAGTCTATGAGTCTGTCCCACCAGGCCCGCATCCCTCTCTGAAACCCCCCACATCACCCCTCGGCCCCACAATCACTCTCCGAGCCTGCCCCAGGACGCCCCTCCAGCTGGCCCCAGTGCCCCCGGTACCTGGCGTGGGTGCCCGTCCCGGCAGGGGCTGCGGTAAATGGCTTGTAGTGGCTCCAAGATTTTGGTGCCCCCCAGGTTAGCCTGGAGCAGCTGGATGCGCTGCAGGGACTCGGCCATGGTCTGCTGGGTATATTCCACGCTCTGCCTGCGGGGGGCGACGACAGGTCTGGGGCTGGGACAGCCGAAACCAGGGACACCCTGCCCCCAGCCAGCCCTGCCCCTAACCCAGTCACCCCCTGCCCCCAGCCAGCCCTGCCCCCTAACCCACCGATACTCCCTGCCCCCAACCAGCCCTGCCCCCAACCCACCGAAGCCCCCTACCCCCTAACCAGCCCTGCCCCCTAACTCACAGATACCCCCTGCCCCCTAACCAGCCCTGCCCCCAACCCACCGAACCCCCCTGCCCCCTAACCAGCCCTGCCCCCTAACTCACAGACACCCCCTGCCCCCTAACCGGCCCTGCCCCCTAACCCACAGACATCCCCTGCCCCCTAACCGGCCCTGCCCCCTAACCCACAGACACCCTCTGTCCCCTAACCAGCCCTGCCCCCTAACCCAGCCAGCCTCCTCCCTGCCCTGCCCCTCGGACTCACGGGTAGAAGGACTCGAACTCAGACCCAAAGCCGTAGATGTTGAAATAACAGCCCAGGGGCAAACTCTTCAACAGCAGGAACAGGGTCTCCTGGGGACAGACAGACGGATGGAGAGTCAGCCCCATGGGCCCAGCCAGCCTGGGCAGCTCCCCCGGGCGTGGCCCCACGGGCCCATCTAGCGCAGCCTCCCGTCTGGCCGTACCTTGGCGCTGTTGATGCGCTGGCGGGAGAGGTCTCTGCCGTCCATGGGGCGCGCCATGCTGCCGCAGCGGTCCAGCAGGAGGATGAACTCCCCGGCCCGGCTCAGGGCCGGCACCGCCTCGGGCACGCTGGGCAGCAGGGTCACCATCACGGCCGGGTCGCCCATCAGGGAGCCTGCGGGGAGATGGGAGCCAGCCCCCAAATGGGGCAGGCATGGGGTCGAGCCCCCGTGAGCCGCCCCCTCAGCACCCCCGACTGCCCCCAGAGACCCACCCCCACTGCTCTGTCCCTCCCCCCACCCCTCTCTTGCCTTAGATCCCCCACCACCCCCAATACCCAGCCCCCTAGTGCCTGCTCTCACATCCCCAGTTCTCCCCCGTGCCCCCCAAACCTGCAGTGCTCCCCAGTGCCTGCCTGCTCCCAGACACCCCGTTCTGCCGACACCAGCTCCCCCC